CCCACCCGTGTGAGGACAGCTCTTGGCCAGGGCCTGCGCGTCTGTCATTTAATCGTGGAATATTACTCCCCTCGGAGAGGGCTGCATGGATGTCAGTTACTCATTGATCGAATCCCAAACTTGCAAGTGCGTTTCCAAAGTCAATATCTCTTAAGTCGTTCCACATGTGCCTGTAAATATTACGATGGCGGCCCCGGCAACTGGCTTTGGGTTTTTGTGGGGATTTTTGTTGTTGTGAATCCTCACCCAAGGACATTTTCCCACTGATTTTTAGGGAGAGTGGAAGGGAGGGGGAGAGACAGAGAGAAACATCAATGATGTGAGAGACACGTCGACGGGTTGCCTCCTGCGCGCGCCCCGACAACCTGCAACCAAGGGACATGCCCTTGACCGGAATCGAACCCGGGACCCGTTGCTCTGCAGGCCGACGCTCTATCCACTGGGCCACACCAGCCAGGGCTGTCACTGGGTTCTTCATCATTCACCCGCTGATACGAAAGGGGAGGAAGGTGTAGCCTGGTGTGAAGATGTTGGCGTCAGATGACCTGGATTTTTTCTAAAACCTTTACTGAGATAAAACAAGGTTCGCCTGTAAATTGAAAAGAAAAAATAAATTAATTGATTAAATAAATAAAAATAAATAAAACCATTACTGACATGATACACTCGCGGTGTAATGTTGGAAAGCTGTTTAACCTCAGGAACATTCAGATGCCTTATTTGTAAAAACAGAGATAAAAGGGCCTGGCTGGTGTGGATCAGTGGTTGGGCATCAACCTATGAACCAGGAGGTCAGGATTCGATTCCTGGTCAGGGCACAGGCCAGGGTTGGGGGCTTGATCCCCAGTGTGGGGCGCGCAGGAGGCAGCCGATCCATGATTCTCTCTCATCATTGATGTTTCTATCTCTCTCTCCCTCTCCCTTCCTCTCTGACACCAATAAAAACATACTTAAAAAAAAAAAAACAGAGATAAAAGATACCAAGTACATTATAAGGTTGATGGAAAGATTAAATGAAATAATCCTGTATAATAAAAGGCTAATATGCTAAGTGTCCAGTCGTCCATTCAACCAATCAACGCGTAATATGCTAATGATATAGTAAGGCTGCTCAACCGCTTGCTATGATGTGCCCTGACCACCAGGGGTCCAGCAGATCGGGACTGAGAAAGATGGTCCGGACACGCCCTGGAGCCCTTCTGCAGTCCCTCCCTGCCCTGGCTGGCCAACCTCCCCTGTCCCTCCCCAGCCCCGATCGTGCACCAGTGGGGTCCCTCGGCCTGGTCTGCACCCTCTCGCAATCCTTGGGGACGCCTTGGGGGATGTCGGAGAGTCGGTTTTGGCCCAATCCCTCAGGTCAGGCCAAGGAATCCCACTGGTGCACGAATTCGTGCACAGGGCCCCTAGTGTCTTTATAATGTGCTTGGCTCCATGCCTGGCACATGGCAAGCATTCAATAAAAATCAAGTATTGCTACTACTGTTTTACTGCTCTCTTTATAAAACCACTAGAGGCCTGGTGCACGAAATTCGTGCACGGGGGAGGGCGGTCCCTCAGCCCGGCCTGCACGCTCTCCAATCTGGGACCCCTTGGGGGATGTCCGAATGCTGGTTTAGGCTGATCACCCCTAACTGCCTTTGCCTTGTTCCTGCCACCATGGCTTTGTCCAGAAGGACATCCGGAAGGTCTCCCAGAAGGTCTCCTGGTCTAATTAGCATATTACCCTTTTATTAGTATAGATATCATCAGAATGGAAGGATCCTAAAAGTCATTGGATTCAGCTGCCCATCAAATAATTGGATCTGTTCTAGGAGGTTCCCTCCCAGAGGCCCCCCTGGCCCATGGCTGAGTATTCCTGCCGGACGCCTCTGACCTGCCGGACGTAGTCAGAGGGCATTCATTGAGGCTTAAACCTGTCCCTCTCACCTTCCGGAAATGCACAGAGCAAGTGTAACGCTTCGCCCTGACTGCCCCGTAGAAATCTCAAAATATCCCCTGCCCGGCCGGGGTGGCTCAGTGGTTGAGCATCGACCTATGAACCAGGAGGTCACGGTTCGATTCCCGGTCAGGACACATGCCCGGGTTACAGGCTGGATCCCCTGTTGGAGGCATACAGGAGGCAGTTAATCCATGAAGGTGCTCGTGCCCTGCCTGGCTCTCTCTCTGTCTCTCTCTCTCTCTCTCTCTCTCTCTCTCTCTCTCTCTCTGTCTCTCTCTCCCTCTCCTGTCCTCTCTGAGATCAATAAAAAAAATAATTTTAAAAAAAGGAAGGAAACCCCCGTTAGTATGAAAGCAATCGCCTCCCGCCTCCCGCGTTCTCACGGCTCTGACACCTGCTCTGTCGCAGGCGGTGGGCTGTGACCGGCAGCTGGGGAGTCACGCCAAGGAGGACAACTGCGGGGTGTGCGCGGGCAACGGCTCCACCTGCAGGCTGGTGCGGGGACAGGCCAAGTCACACGTGTCTCCTGAGAAAAGTAGGTGTCACCCCCAGTGCAGCGGTACCTGAACGCGAAATGCGCCTGCCTTTCCCCACATAGATTTGGTTTCATTCAACGCTGTGTTGTCCCCAGGACCACTGCGCTTGGATTAGATTAACCTTGAGAAATGCATTCGTTTTGTTAGTTTGACGTCTTACAATGAGAGAAACCAAAATGCCCTGGAATGTCAATATTTGTCCAGGGACAGAATAGTGGCTTTATAAAAGTGGGATATTCTAAAATTCACGACGAGAAACTTTTGGTAGGAGTTGGATGCCACCCAGTAACGTGCCGGCGACTTAACGGTATCGTCTTAGAGGAGTTCATTTTGCTGAAACTTGGGAAATATGTGTTATCCATTTTATGCAGTGACAGTAAACAATTTTATGTTTCTATTCTCCCATTAGACAGCAACCAGAAGTTACTTGGAAAGTTTGTTTAATTTTGGGTCCACATTTTCACATGCCTTATCTATACTAATAAAAGGGTAATATGCTAATTAGACTGGACATCTTCCGGATGTCCTTCCGGACAAAGCCACGGTGGAAGGGGCAGAGGCAGAGGCGGTTTGGGGCAATCAGGCCGGCAAGGGAGGACTGTTAGGGGCAATCAGGCTGGCAGGGGAGAGCAGTTAGAGGTGATCAGGCTGGCAGAGGAAGGCAGTTAGGGGCAATCAGGCTGATAGGCAGAGGTGGTTAGGGGCAATCAGGCAGGGAGGAAGAGTGGTTAGGGGTGATCAGGCAGGCAAGTGAGTGGTTAGAGGTGATCAGGCAGCCAGGCAAGCAGTAAGGGGCGATCAGGCAGGCAGGGTGC